ATAGGCGGATGATGAGGATAACGTGGGTAGAAAAGGTTAGAAGTGAAGAGGTATTAGAGAGAATAGGAGAACAGAGGACTATATGGAAGTCAATAAAAAATAGGCGAGATAGGTTGGTAGGACACCTTCTTAGGCATGAAGGTCTAGTCAGAGACATATTAGAGGCGGAAAGAGGAGTTAGAAGGGGTAGAGGTAGACCTGGATTAGATTACTGTTCGCAAATAGTTAAGGATGTGGGTTGTTCTAGTTTTAGGGAAATGCGAAGTATAACTTAGGATAGGAAAGAGTGGAGGTACGTGTCCAACCAGTCTTCGGACTGACGACCCTATGATGATGAAAAACAAATATGACTGCTGTAGGCTTTCATGGCCGAAGTCAATTTGGACATTGCAGATTTCCGGGTTTGCTGATCATGATCTAGATTGGTTGATGATTCTACCAGATGTTTCACTGACCACTGGAGATAACGAAACGTCTGGGAGAATCATGGTAGAGCAGAGATATAAAAGGTAGGAGAACAAACGGCGTTGTGGAAGTCAATAAGAAATAGGCAAGATTGATTCATAAGACACCTTCTCAGATACAAAGAACTAGTTAGAAACATATATTAAAAATTAGGTATAAAAGTAGTAGAGGTAGACCTAGATTAAAATACTTTTCACAAATAGTCAACGATGTGGGATGTTCTAGTTTTAGGGAAATGCGAAGATTAGCTCAGGATAGTAAAGAATGGAGGTGCGGGTTCAAGCAGTCTTAAGACTTACAACCTTATATGATAATGAAGTAGTGTTTCCTAATTCTCCATTTGCATCATCAGTTTAATACCTAGTAATTTTTGAAAAAGCATGCTTGGCTGCGATTGTAGGAAAAATAGTTCTTCATCCATTTTGATTAGTTCATAGCGATAAACATTTAATTATTAAAAAGTTGATAATGACACAATCGCTTAGTTTTTTGACTTTTAGACTATGGATACGTTTTTCGTTGATAGTACGGTTACGTGTCATACCTAACCACATTTTGCGTAAGTAGACACAGTGAATGAATTTATATTTCGAGAAACATGTATTACGTACCTACAGTTGTACCTATGTAGTAAAAAGTTTGCCGCTAATTTCTAGCACGCAACGTGTAATTACGAACTTTTTAGTTTCACGTAATGTGGACTAATTTCTAGCGAATAGGCGCGCAAAATGATTCGTTTTGCTACGATTTTTTCAGTAATTGATTTAAATTGGTCACGCGCAAGGAAACGATGCGATGGAAAGACGATGGGAACGAGAAACTTTTTTTCTCTGCAACCAATCGTCCGTCGTCGTAGTAAGTAGGTATAAAACATACAGTTATCCACATACATATATACACGTAGACAGTGGCGGTACATGAATCTTGATCGTAAGTGTTCTACCTATAAGTAAAATTAAATAAATTAAAGCTCAATAAAGAAAACTTTTCTTCTATGCTCGAGAACGGTTAATTTAGAAATTCGAAGAAGATTGTTCAAGGTGTATGTTTGAAGCGCGGCGCTGTACGGGTGCGAAACATGGACGATGGGCGCCGTGAAAAAGAAAAGGTTAGAAGAGTTCGAAATGTGGTGTTATAGGAGAGGATACCGTGGATAGAGAAGGTTAGAAATGAAGAGATATTAGAAAGAATAGGAGAACAGAGGACTCTATGGAAGTGAATAACAAATAGAAATAGGCGAGATAGGTTAGTAGGACACCTTGAAAAGAAAAGGTTAGAAGCGTTCGAAATGTGGAGTTACTGGCGAATGGTGAGGATACCGTGGATAAAGAAGGTCAGAGATGAAGAGGCGTTAGAAAGAATAGAACATAGGACTCTATGGAAGTCAATAAGAAATAGCCGAGATAGGTTGGTAGGACACCGTCTCAGGCATGAAGGTCTAGTCAGAGGCATATTAGAGGCAGAAACAGGAGTTAAGAGGAGTAGAGGTAGACCTAGATTAGATTACTGGTCGCAAATAGTTAAGGATGTTAGCTGTTCTAGTTTTGGGGAAATACCGAAAATTAACAGGATAGGAGAGAGTGGAGTCTTAGGACTGACGACCTTGTGATGATGAAAGGAAACGTCGAATAGACTGAATGGGTATCTAAGGATAATATACACTAGTGAAGAATGGAGAAACAAATATATGCATATGTTATAAAATGCAATTATCAAAGAGCGGCAAATAAATACCACTTCTTTCTATTAAATTATAAAGGTTTTAATTACATTACCGAGGATAAAATTACTGAGATTCTCTCACTAAACATAAGGCGAGGGTAATACCGAAAAATTTTTATTTTATTTTTTTTATTNAGTAACATACAATATGGTATGAACCAAAAGAGTCACCAAATATCCAATTTTAATTTTTGACTTGATTTGTAGCATTTGCCTTTAAATCTTCAATTTTCATGGTATTTACTCTAAATAGTCTTTGAAATACCTTAGTTTCAAAAATGCTAATTTGGCGTTTTTGATTTTCAGACATTAAAATAATAAATCTTGGAATTTCAATAAGCCATAGTTGAATGTGATTCTAATGGTATGCTGTCAAAAATTCATCAAAATGATTACTATTCTTTCTATTTTCACTTTCCACATGCTAATCTAGTGATTTCCCTCGCATCTGTACTGTTATGGCCTACCTACTTAAATGTATTTAGTACATTTTTTTAAATATTCTGAATTTCTTTACAATAAATCTCAACATATTATGTGGGCGTATGGAGAATATTTGTTTAGTTCAATTTCCTTTCGAAACTCAATCAGAAAGTCTTTTATGATTGTGGAAAAGGAATCGTTAAATAACAGAAGTAAACCGGATTATATGAAGAATTAATGGTGACGTTGTAGGGGGCGCAAATTGGATAAAAGAACTTTCTTTATCTAACTAATTTTTCTAGACCAGTTTCATAACGTGTTAACAGAGCGAGAGAGAGGTGGTAATACCATAATGTTATTAAGGAGATCCTACAATAATTATACTAAAGACACTAAAAAACTAATAATCCGTTCAAAATATATTATTAATTAAATAGTTTAAATTTCTCGCTGTATTTTTAAGCGTGCTCATTAAAAAGTGCCTGGATAATGGATAATCGTGCATCTTGTTACGATTTCCGGGGAATTTTGCCTGTATATGTACGCAAAATCTTAAGTACAAGGTTAGGAAAGCGAATGTGAATAATGAAAAATTCTTAACTTGTTTATGACAAGAGAATGTCCCGAACGTTCGAAAAGTAATTTGGCTCGAAAAAGCAACGAATTACTACTTTAATTACCTTTTTGTCCTTCGTACTCACGTAATATGAACGCAAACAATTTACTAACAGTACACACTTATTAACAATATTATATAATCGCAGTAGTTTCAATCAGCAAAATCCCCATCTGCAAATTGAGATAAAAATTTAGTAAATTACAGGAATAAGGCTCCCTAAAATACTTAGATTCCCAAATTTCATAGATGAACCTGTAAAGGTTTTTGGGTAATTAAGATCTATACTATCTTTATCGTAGTTTCATAAATAAACCTGTGAATCTCCTTGGGTTACTAGAGTCTAAGGAGTGCTATTTTTATTATAGAAACTCAAATTACATAAATAAACCTGGCAATGTTCTCGGACTACTAAGATCTAAAGAGTGCTATTTTTATCATAGAATCTTCAATTTCATAAATAAACCTGTGAAAGTTCTCGGTCTACGAAGGTCTATGGAGTGCTACTTTTATAATATAATATCAAATTTCATTAATAGACCTATGAATGCCCTCGAGTGACTATGGTGTAAAAAGTGCTATTTATCGTAGAGTCTGAAATTTCATAAATAAACCTATGAAACTTCTCGGAATACTGAGATCTAAACAATGCTATTTTTATCATAGATCATTCAATCTCAAATTTCATAATTAAAGAGCTACGCAGAAAAAAAGAGGCTTGGGTTAAGTTATGGTGGGAATCGCTTCAAATGTTAAGCAATACCAAACAAATTTGGGCGGGCTACGTCTCGAACTTGTGACCACTCGTCATATACAAAATAAGAAAGCTAAAAGGTCAGCTGGTTAAATAAAAATAAATAGTAGCCGTGAACTGCAGTTGTCAAAAATGATTCCGATTTGCTTTCTACGCTCACTTCGTGTTGCGTAAGGGACAATGAGAGTTCGTATATGTCATGCCTTAGGATTACCAAATCAATTCACTGTTGCAGTCTGACTGTATACACTATAAATGCGCCTTTGGCTTGAGGTACTTAAGTGAAGGGGGAGTGCCTGCGGAAAGAAAGACCTCGTAATTACACCGTGACCGATGAGTGATTAATAAACGTATATTTATCATTCGCTAACACACACTGATCGTGATTACGTCTGAAATCTCGTTCCCCGGTCTTGGTGACATGATTTATTTCTTATATTAATTATCTATTCAGACCCGGGGCTGAGGCAACTTATCGATGTCTTTACAATCGCTCCTATCTGTTAGCTGTCAGGATCGTTTATTGAAAACTACGTCCGACTCATCGCAGGGGGTTGCTAACTATTGTCTACGAGTTTTCAATTCGATATGGGATATAATATGGAAATCAAATTTAGGATTAAACCAAAAGTTCCCGTATCTCTTACTCGATGGTTTTACTCAAAACATCGCAGTACTTTTGGTCATGTGGACGGTGTCATGACTATCTATTAAAACAAAGTGCATGACTAAAATTTTAAATCATTTACCCCGTAATAATTAATTTTAACAGAATTGCAAAAAACCTATGAATTTTTGCCTCATTTATTAATTTATAAAATCTTTGTCAGGTTTTCAAATTATAATCAAAAAAAGAAAACGTCAAGATTCAGGAATTTAAATATATGTGACTTTTGACATTAGACGGTTAACTTTACTAAATAAATAAACAACTAAAACTAATCCAATTGGAAAACAACATCTTCATTTTCCTTTCGAAAGTTGTAGGCATTTGATCAATTTATAAAAGAAAATCCTTACCTTCTGATATTAATCTTTCGCGGATTTCCCAAGCGAAAATTGTAGGATTTTCTCGTTTGTACTGTTCAATTTTGGAAACAACTGCGGGTGTCGCTACCTTGGGCTTGCTTCCCCCAATGAGACCCGGCGGTCGTAAGGTACCTATAAAAAAAAAGAAGTTAGTGTTAATTAAAGTTAATGTGAATCATAAAAAGTACAAATAGTTGATGTTAAATTGTTGCAAATTTATTTAGAATGAACCGGAATTCATCGTCTACCTAATTTTGATTACACCATACTCATCATCATTATCATAAGTTCGTCACTCCTAATACTGGTTGGACACGTACCTCCACTCTTTCCTATCCTGAGCTAATCTTCGGATTTCCCTAAAACTAGAACAACTCACATCCTTAACTATATGCGAACAGTAATCTAATCTAGGTCTACCTCTACCCCTCCTAACTCCGGTTTCTGCCTCTAATATGTCTCTGACTAGACCTTCATGTCTAAGAAGGTGTCCTACCAACCTATCTCGCCTATTCTTTATTGACTTCCATAGAGTCCTCTGTTCTCCTATTCTTTCTAATACCTCTTCATTTCTAGCCTTTTCTACCCACGTTACCCTCAACATTCGCCTATAACACCAAATTTCCAAAGGTTATAACCTTTTCTTTTCCGCCGCGCCCACTGTCCATGTTTCGCACCCGTACAATGCCGTGCTCCAAACATACACCTTTAACAACCTTTTTCGAATTTCTAAATTAACCGCTCGCGAGCATAGAAGTGATTTCTTTTTATTAAAGGCGACACGATCCAGCACTATCCTCTGCTTTATAACCCTACTACTCCTTCCGTCCTGACTTATCTGACTTCCCAGATATCTAAAATCAGTCACTTCTACTAATTTTTCGTCTCCTATCTCTATACTACCTTTACTAAGATGCTAAAAATATTGATTATTTAAGCGGCCACGTTTAAATAATACCTGCTTTACATTCTTCATAAAAGTGTCAGAAAACACTTAATGTAAATTAATCTACATTAAGGTTTTTATGTTGGTCATCATCCTCTGCTCAGCCGTATTGGTTTATTTTATTATTGTTATTATTAGGTTAATTGAATTTGATTATGATAATTCTATGTATCATGAATATGGATATGTTGTAAAACTTAATTTTAATATCTATTAATCGTTGTCGGCAAATTACCTGTTAATAATTGATCAACTGTTTCTGCTAAAGGTACACGACTACGAGAGGTAAGGTACTTTATTGAATAGAATTCTTGATCCAAAACAGCCGGGAATTCCATCAAAATTCTTAAAAATGTTTTGGAGTAATCAATTACAAGCTTATTACATACATAAGAATTACTCTTATTATATTCATTATCACCACCAGATCATCAGTCCAGAACGGCTAGACACGCAAGCCCAGAATTTTATTTCGTCTGCCAATCGTCGCATTATTCGAAAATTACAATATTCCACATTTAAGAAAGGTAATATAATCTATGTTTTATTCTTCTAACCCTAATATGTTCGTGACCATCCCTTAATGTCTCAAATGGTGTCCTACCGCCCTATCTCTTTTTCTTCTTCATGATAACTTTTATGACGACCTATTTGCTCATCACTTTTACAACATCTATCTGGAATAGTAGTTCCTAAATGGTATTCCGCGGAACGTTGGTGTTCAGTGCAAGGGTCGTAGGGGTTCCAAGAGTGCAAACAATGAGGTGTCAGAGATCTTAAAAATAGATTTATTGTCAGCTTACATTTTCGTTATTGAGATGAGATTTCACCAGGAAAAGGTGGATCAATGAGGATTCTACAGCTAAAAGAAATTGAGAACTGCTGGAGAACACCACATCATCTGAAAATTTTTCTTATCCCCTACGTCCACCATAATGATCCACTTTTGACCCTCGTATTTTAAATAAACACTTTTAATAATTCTTCTTGAATTTACATCCCTATTTACTGCTCGCAAGCATAGAAGTGATCCCTTTCAGTTAATATCTGACTTCTTATAGACATCAAAAATATGCGACTTCTTCTAGTTTTTCGTGCCCAATAGCCATAGTAACTCTAATCCTATACTTTCACCTACATTACACAATGACATTTTTTGCCGTTTCAATTTGTTATTTTTCTAACGCTACCTACCTATAATCAATTTAGTTGAGGTGTCGGAGTTATTCATATGATAAGATAGGTAGGTAGGTAGATATTTTTATAGAAAGTAATGTCCCCGTGCGTTGAAAATACGAAGCAGAGAACGTAATTACGGTCTGTAAAAAAGCAAAGCGAACAGTCGATTATCGTGTAGATCGAAACGCATTGAAATGGGACCTGTTTGTGTGTGTGTGTGTATGTGTGACCGCGCGCTATCGAAAGAAACGCCATAATAAAAGGGATCGACGAGATACGTCTTTTGTGAAACGTTAAATGGTTCGGGCAAACAAAAACACCTGCACCTACTTTATTGACTTCTGTGTCAGCGCACCACACAATAAATATACGTGACATCTGCGACAACTTCTTGTCCACGCGATTGTCATCCGCTGGTCTGTGCCACTTCCCGTATTCCCGTTTGTAAATTCGCGGACGGTCGCTGCGCTGAATTTATTTGCAGGGGGAACAGGCGTTCGGGGGCGAATATAAAAACGTCCCATCGCTGACCGGTCGTTTATGGTCAAACTATGGGAACAGGTCTGATAAACGACCTTTGAAGCGCACTCAGATCTGTTTTCGGCAGACGTGACATTACTTTAAATCAATCAATTTGTTACGAACCACTATTTGTCATGGTCATCGCTGAAAGTCGAAGTCTATGTTGGTGTTTGATTATTTTCCATTTATTGATTGCTATCACATGACTACACTGGATGAAATGTCATGTCAAATATTTTTTACGTATTAGCCTTTTGCTTGAATAACTATTAAACATAGATACAGAAATTATTGGTAAAACCGAATCACTACTGGAATGACAATGCTAAGAACATTTGGCATATTTTTAATTCTAATGGCCCAGCATTGTCTCATAAGTAGTGCTGAGACGACACCAACAATGGGTAAAGAGAAGTCCTACAGCATAATTGTTAGAGACCATACGAAATAATATTACTCTAGAATGATAATTCGTATGGCTCTTTGAGTAACTAGACTACATACAAACGAGCAAATTCTAGTCTTGTTCTTGATTATGCAAAAATTTCATGACCCTTTTTTTATTTTGGTCTATTAGTTTCAATTCCCTATGAAAAGCTTGTTCCTTATAACATCATTCTTGGTTTGGTGTGTCAGGGGCAATACAATCAAATTTAACACGTTTACAATTCTATTGACATCATATCTTCTCAAAATTAGTATTGAGATAGCACGTAAGGTTAAGAGAAATTTCTAAAACAATTTTTTATAGACGATAAGAGAAGAAGACCAATAATCTAGGAGGTATGTTATAAGGATTAACTGGTTTTAATTTTTAAAAAGGATATCCTCACAAAAGTCCCAACGATGTAAATATGAAGTATACTTCATTTCTAGTTTGGGAACGTCTGAAAATAAAGTTGAAGAAAATAGGTTTTCCTGAACTTTTATGAAAAACCATAGAGATATACCTTGTACCAAACAGTAACATACAATATGGTATGAACCAAAAGAGTCACCAAATATCCAATTTTAATTTTTGACTTGATTTGTAGCATTTGCCTTTAAATCTTCAATTTTCATGGTATTTACTCTAAATAGTCTTTGAAATACCTTAGTTTCAAAAATGCTAATTTGGCGTTTTTGATTTTCAGACATTAAAATAATAAATCTTGGAATTTCAATAAGCCATAGTTGAATGTGATTCTAATGGTATGCTGTCAAAAATTCATCAAAATGATTACTATTCTTTCTATTTTCACTTTCCACATGCTAATCTAGTGATTTCCCTCGCATCTGTACTGTTATGGCCTACCTACTTAAATGTATTTAGTACATTTTTTTAAATATTCTGAATTTCTTTACAATAAATCTCAACATATTATGTGGGCGTATGGAGAATATTTGTTTAGTTCAATTTCCTTTCGAAACTCAATCAGAAAGTCTTTTATGATTGTGGAAAAGGAATCGTTAAATAACAGAAGTAAACCGGATTATATGAAGAATTAATGGTGACGTTGTAGGGGGCGCAAATTGGATAAAAGAACTTTCTTTATCTAACTAATTTTTCTAGACCAGTTTCATAACGTGTTAACAGAGCGAGAGAGAGGTGGTAATACCATAATGTTATTAAGGAGATCCTACAACTAGATACAAAATGTCTGCAAGGACAGCAATGGAAATCCTTAAATTGTCGCAACCATTTCTTCGCGCGACGGTATCCATTTTGATTTTCGATTCATTTATCAACTGAAAAAACTTTAATCACGATTTCAAACTACATATAGGAATATCTTCAAAGATAAATAAATTTTATCATATTTATCTTCTATATTTCTTCGGCTAATGTTCACATTATCTGTCAATCTTGTCCATTAATTACTGTTACCAATCGCGTAATCCTTTTTCATCTAAGTATAACTAAAAACATATACATATAAGTTCCTAGAACCGATTTTAGATATTCACCATTTGCCTTTAGTCTTTTTCAGTATCAATAATGATTATTCCGTTTTGTGATCCTTTAGCGCCAACCATTCACGCTTTCTCCTGGGGTTATTTCAAATTGAGTCGCAAGGATAATTACACGGCAATAATAGTAACGATACTGACGACGTTACGTCTTTGCTTCTTCTTCGTCTTCAACTGATCCCGATTTCTGTTTTTTTTTTTTCGATGTTGTTTCCATTGCGTGACCGTCCACTTTATGCAACGCCGAGCTTCGCAAAAACCGGAATGTTTTCAGTTACATGACACGAAAGTGAGGTCACTGCCACGTGACGCTTGTAGTAGACATTTTTGTACCGTTTAATATAACGTTGAGTATGAATATTTAGTCTAGTTACACATTTGTGGATATCAAGTCATTCAGGTATTGACCACAACAAGACAATAAGTGCGGTATTTGTTCCTTGGTCCTTATAATTCGGTCAGGTTTCCTTTTAAGTCAGAAAAGCTGTAATAGGGGTCTCTATTTTAAAATAAATCGAAGAACAGAATTCTCCAG